AAAAAAAAAAAAAAAAAAAAAAAAAAATTAAAAAAAAAAAAAAGATAAAAGAGAATTAAAAAACAAACAGAGCATCAGTGAACTGTGAAACAATTTTAAGCAGACTATTATATGTGTAATTGGAATCACAAATTGAGGGGGAGAGCAGGAAAAAATTATTTAAAGAAATAGTGGCTGATAATTATCCAAATTTAATAAAAACTATAGACCCACAGATCCAAGAAGTTCAACAAACTCTAAGCACAAGAAACATGTAGAAAACTTAACCAATCCATATAATAATCAAATTGGTCAAACCTAGTGATAAAGAGAAAATCTTAAAATTTTCTGAGAGAAAAAAGAGACATTACATATGAAGGAACAAAGATAAGGATTATGGCAAATTTCACATCAGAAACAATGCAGTCAAAAAGACAGCAGAGCAACATCTTTAAAATTCTAATGAAAGAAAAACATCTTTCCTAGATTTCTATTCTTACCTAGAATTCTATATCCAGAGGAAATAGCTTTCAAAACTGAAGTAAAAATAAAGACATTTTTCAGACATAAAAAGACTGAAATCACTCAGAATATATTCTCTGAAGACAATGGAATTGAATTTGAAAGCACTAACAAGAAAATATCTAGAAAACCCCCAACATATTTAGAAAATAAACAACATATTTCTAAATCGATGGGTCAAAGGAGAAATTATAAGAAATATAAGAAATACTCTGCACATGATAATAAATGTCATCATATCAAAATTTGTGAGTCATACCTAAAGTAGCACTAAGCAACCTTGTCTAATAAAACCTTCTGAAATGACGGAAACATTCTGTATCTCTGCTCTCCAATACAGTAGCCACTGGCCACATGTGGCTATTGAGCCCTCAAAACATGACCAGTACAAGTTAGAAGCTCAATTTTGAATATCATTTAATTTTAATTAATTTAAATTTAAATAGCCACTCGTGGCTAGTGGATACTGCATTGCATAGTACGGTTCTATACCTTGATGTGGTGGAAGTTACACAGCTGTAAATATTCATTAAAACTCAAAACCATTCAAATAAAATTGGTGAATTTTATTGTATGTAAAATATACCTTAAAACTAGGGGGAAAAATAATGGTAAGGATACAATTGCAAGAGAGAGTATAAACATAAAGTGGGTGAAGGGAAAATACAGTAAAGGTCTTGAAAAGCCTGGAGAGATGGGATCCAAAGCACAGTTGGAAGACATGCTCTAGAAAGGTAGATAGAGTTCCTCTATTGAAGTGGGAGGGATAAAGAATAGGATGATACAGATTTAGTCAGATTTATGTTGGTTTCAGGAAAGTGAAAGGGTTTCCATCTGAAAAACTGTATATTCTCAATAATCTATGAAGAGAATAGGACGGTCTCAAGTTTTAGGAGATGGATGAAGTTTGAAATGGATATAGCAAACTAAGTTTTCCAAAGAAGTACTGAAGATTGCCAAGATTATAAACAGGCAATTTGAGGTTGAGGACTATAAACTTTTAAATTGTATTAAATCATTAAAACATTTTTTCAACACAAACTTAATTCGTATATACTATATATACGAAAAAGAGACCAAGGACAAAAACAAAAAAAGAAAAGAAAGAAAAACTCTGCTTACACAGAGCAAAAGGAGAAGACAAATAATATCCTAACTACATAAATAAATTACTTATTATGTTAGGTGAAAAGTACTGTTGGGAACAATAGATCAGAAAAGGCAAACAGAAAGTGCCAGCATGAGTAGGGGTGACACTGGTGCAACTTTAGTTTGGATGGTCAGGAAAAGTCTCACTGAGAGGGTGACATTTGAGCAAAGACTTGAAGGGAGTCAGGAAATATGCCTGTTATATTCAAGGAACAGAAAAGAAGTCAATATGGCTGGAGATAAAGGAGCAAAGGGAAGCATGGTAGGCAGTGAGGTCTGAGATGTAATGGGGGCCAGACCGTATAGAGCTTCACAATGTTTACTGCAGTGAAGACCACATGCAGATCTCTACCTCTGACCAGTCCTCAAGATAAAGGAGCAAAGGGAAGCATGGTAGGCAGTGAGGTCTGAGATGTAATGGGGGCCAGACTGTGTAGAGCTTCACAATGTTTACTGCAGTGAAGACCACATGCAGATCTCTACCTCTGACCAGTCCTTGATTCCACCTTCACCCAGGTGTGAGCTTTCTTTTCACTTGCTTTATTGTAAATATGTTTACAAAATTAGGTCACCCCAATTCGCTTCTCACCCATATCTTCTCCACAGCACATTGGTTTTCCTTCCAAATCACCTTATTCCTCTCAGATCTTCCAGATTCCCCAACCAGAGTTATTTTTAGTTCCTCTCTCTTTCATTCCCTATATTTAAATCAAACCATTACTGTTCCTTACCCAAACAAGCTGCATTTTCTTTTTCAAAAGTTTCTAATAATTCACAATCAGCTCTACAATAATGTCCAAGCCAACCTCACCCTTATGATTATCAGTATAAGCCTACCACTTATTGCCCTACCAGAAATATGCTCACTTCTACCTCTAAGCCTTGTCTTATGTGTTCTCCCCTTAAAAGCCCTCAGTTCTCCTGTGACTAAATTCCAACCATATTTCTGTGCCCACCAAAGTTAAACCCCCTTCATGTAATCTTCCAAATCATATTTTCTCCTTCTCTGAACTTCTATGGGACGTTTTCTCTTTATCCTTTGAAATGGATTTGTGTGTCTCCCTGAATTCTTCCTTAACTCCTTGGTTGGGCCATAGATTCCTCAAGAACTGAACACCACAGAAAATGCCTACTGAGAACCTATGCTAGTTACCATGCTAGTTACTGAATGAGGACAAAAGAACTATGGAAAGGCACAAGGCAATGGGTAAAGGCTTATAAACTCCATGGTCAAACAGAATAGGCCTTGCTTTCTGGGAAAGAAAGTATCTGGGACTCAGATCATTAAATCGAAGTTTGTTGGGCCCCAAAACACCAGAATGAAAGTAGAAAATGTAAAATATTTCAGGATGGGAAGAAAATCCAACTCACCCTGAACCTGCCATCATAGGCCTAGCAGCCATTCTCTCCTCTTCTGCTCTCTTCTCCAGAGGAAGGGCACAGTCTTGAGATGGTGGCACTGAGGGAAGACAGAGGAGCTATGAAGAAGGGAGTGTGTGTCTTCAGCTACCACACTTGACATTTTAGAGCTGCACTCTCCAATATGGTAGCCATTACCTATGTGTGGCTGTTTAAATTAAAATTAATTAAAATGAAATAAAATTGAAGACTGAATTCTTCAATTGCAATAATCACATATCTGTGATTAGTTGCTACTGTTCTGGACAATGCATATATTAAACATATCCAGAGAAAGTTCTGTTGAATAGCACTGCTGCAGAAGTCCACATATGTGGTATTTTGTGAGATCACACCAACTGCATCTCTGGCTCCAGCAAGTAAGGGAGAGCAGACATTCTTTGCCACAAACACCATGACCACAGGATAGGCCACAAGCATTATGGCCTCAGTGCCATGCTGTACTCCATTCATGGTAAAAGTAGTTTCTAGAGAGCAAGAGCAGTAATCTAGACTGTATCATAGCACTTACTACCTATACTGAAATTACCTTTTTGCATGTCTTTTGCGTCTTCCCATTCCCCAGGCAGGAATCGAGATTTACCCATCTTTACATTCCTAATAATAATACTGTACCTGGCATAAGGTAGGTTTTGATATGCTTGATGAACTGAAGAGATAGGGCTGAAATCTGTGTTGGATTCATAATTAAGATTTTAACATAAAGGATTCACACATTCATTGAGCTCTGCAGTAAGGACTCTTGTAGGCACTGGAGATACAACAATGACAAGACAGAATAAAGCCCCTCTGAGAGGGACAGCAAACAACAACAGCAGCAGCAACATATGAGCATATATAAACTCAACTAGTGATAAATATATCCAAATAAGTAAGATAAGGGGAAACAGAGCAACTTTATTTTAGATGAGATGGCCAGGAAAAGCTTAGTTCTGAGAAGGAAACATTTAATCAGAGTTGCATAAAAAGAGGGAGTAAGCCATAAGGATATCTGAGGGCAGAGAACAGCAAGTGCACAGTCCGTACCTACATAAAATCCTGAAGCAGGAATATCTCTGACATGTTCTAGAAAAAACAAACAGGCCAGTGTAAATCAGAAGAGTGCAAGAAATGAGGAATTTATCTTTAGGTGATATAAAACAATGCCGTCTCTCTTGGTTCTTCAAGAATACAGGAGAAATTGTTTGGCAAATTCTTTCAATATAGGACATATTGCCTTTATTATCAGAGGCAGTGTTGCTTAATGGAAAAAACAACAACAACAAAAAACAAAACAGAACACTCCACTGGGTATGAAGAACCCTGGATTCTAACATCTGAGTTAGTAAAATGCTGTAAAGCATTAAGCAAGTCACTAACGTCCTTGGATCTTTGTTTCTTCGGTAACAAAACAATAGGGATAAGAGTATCTGCTCCCATCATTTTACAGAACTTTGTGGGTATTAAGCAAGATATAAAAGACCCACTGAATTTAAACATTTGAAGGACGAACGACTTCTCAGAATGTGGTCCTTGGATCAGCAGCATCAGCATCACCTGGTAACTCACCAGAAATGCAAATTCTTAGGCCCCACCTCATACCTACTGAATCAGAAACTCTGGTGGTGGGTTTAGTAATGTGTTTAAACTATCTTCCAGGTGACTCTGATGTTCGCTCAAGTTTGAGAAGCACTAGTTCCTGAATCACCTAAGCAACAGAGAACTTCCTCGTGGAGGTTCAGAATGTTATTGTTTGCAGCTGCTATGAATTAGCAACTCTACCAAATGCCTCACATAAACCAGAGGATCTCAAAGGGCAGGAACTGGTCCTTATAAGACTGGAGAAAAGAGGAACTACTGCCATTTAGACCGTGGGAGTCAGGGATGCTAGATGCCCTTCAGTACCGAATAATCCCAAACAATTTTCAGATGTCCTACAAGACATTCACAGAAAAAAAAAGTCTGTTGATAATTATCAGTGCCTAGAGCCTCTTTTTTACACACAATTACAAAGGTTTTTTTTTTTTTTTTTCAGTACTAATAGGCAATGATTTTCCTATAAAGGCAAATATAGTCCAAATCAAGGTACTTTAAATTTTACTAAGATTTGATCATTTTATCAGTCTGAGTTGCAGTGTGTTTCCTTTTATTTCTCCTTTATTTCAGAGGTAAGTCATTATAGAACTTTAAAATGATTGTATATATACATTAGTTTTATTACCAGTTTAATGAATTTCATTTCATTCTGCATTAAAAAATATTTAAGAAAAGAGCCTACTGAGTCTGAAAGAGTTGACAACCACTGACATACATTGGGTTATTAAATCTCACAACCCTTGATGAAGGTTAACCTCTCAAAAGGTTAATTTGCACAAGGTTATCACAGAGCCAATAAGTCTCAAAGCTGGGATTCAAATTCAGACCTTTTTTCCTTCAAAAACCAAGCTTAATTAAAACATATGTTCACACAAAAACCTGTACACGAACATTTACAGAAGAATCATTCATAATTATCAAAATCTGGAAACAATCCAAATATCATTCAACACGTGAATAGATTTTTAAAAATCTGACACATCTATATACAATAGAATATTACTATGCAATAAGAAATTAACACACACAACAATGTGGATGCATTTCAAAGTAAAGCCTTGTGCTGAATGACTGAAACCAGTCTTAAAAGGTTATAGACTGTATGATTCCACTTATAAATTATATTCTGGAAAATACAAACTATAAAGGTAGAGAAAAATCAGTGGCTGCCAGGAGTTAAGGGTGGGGAAAGGGTGTGAATATAAAGGAATAGCACAGGGAGGTTTCTGGAGTGAACGAAACAGCTCTGTATCCTAATTGTGGTGGTAGTTACACGAATCTATATGTGTGCTAGACTGTACGCCTCCCCCCAAGTCAATTTTACTATATGATAATTTTAAAATTAACTGACTAAATAAGCCAGGTCGTTTCCATTCTACCATGCTAGATAAAAGACTGGCGTGGGAAAAGCACGACATGCAAAGTGACAGAGGGAGGGGTTTGGGTCAAGGGTTCAAACATTTCCTCTCACGCCCCATTCTTCCCACTTTCTCACACCAAAGGTCCTTCCCCTGTGTGTTTTTTTCTCACCCCTCAGGTGAGGAAAGGGAAAGCTCTCTTTCCTATAATTTAGTCCCCAGAACACTCTCCCCACCACCTGCTCTAGCTCTTACCTCACTTCAGGCAACTTTGTCGCCTCCACCTTGCCGTGCTCCGGCCGCTGTGACATCACGCAGGTTCTGTTCTCTGTATTAGCACTGGTTCTGTATCCTTAGTGACCCAGGCCTCCTTCCCACCAGTCCCTGCTCCCGGATGGGGGCGACTCTTCTCTAGTTTGTGGCTCTCGGGAGGTTCGCCTCCGCCACTCCCTCTCAGGAACCCAACTATCTCTGACCTTTGGAGATGAGGCTGGATCTCCTATTTTATCACCAGCGCCCGGCGGCCGCCGTCGCCCTCTGAATAGTCCCTTGCAAAGTGCCCGGGGACCCTCCTTAGCGCCAGAAGCCACAGCCGCCGCTACTGCTCCCAGAAGCTTTCCACAAGCCTGGATCCCACACGGCCCCGAGCTAGCTCGGGTACCCGCCGAGATACACTGCACGCCCGGTGGCCTAGAGGGCGTTTCTCGGTCTTCCCTACGCCTCTCCGAATCAGAGACAGGGGTAGGTATAAAGGTGAGCCTCTGCTTCCACCTCTCCAGGGTCCCCCATCCCCACCCCGCTCCTCTAGTCGCCTTCTCCGAAAAGAGCAAGGCCCACGCTTTGTGAAGCTCCAGGATCCTCTACCTGCAAGGACCGACCCACCTGTCGGGAACCAGATGCCCTCAGACTCTCCACGCACAGGGGAGCTTTTGGACAAACGGTTTTCTGGTCCCAGCAGAACTACGCCTACGCGGCTCTCGCTGTGGCCGTGCTCGCTCTACCCCGGTGACTACATTTCCCAGAATCGTCTGCGGCTGTGGGGAGTTAAAGGTTGGGTCGTGGCTAGAGCAGGCCCCGGTGATCTTTATCTGTAGGAGGCTGTAGGCGTGGCCCTTAGAGAGCTATGCTTGCCTGGAAAAGTTCTCCCTACGGTCCAGATTTATGTGACACCTCCACTGTCACTAGGGTGTATGTGAATAATTTGCATGTAGTAAAGCTCCTCTGTATTACAGCATTTTTTTATGACACACGTACATTAAACCACTAATTAAAGATCACAGGCCCCCGGGTAAAGCAGACGCTTTACTTTATAATAACAATAGCCAATTAAACACTAAGCACTTTACATGTATCATTGCATTTGAGAAAGCAAAAATCAGCCCTGCTATTAATCAGACTCAGATGACACTGACAAAGCCTGCTGCAAACTTAACAGCAAGCAGCATTTCTCCCCACATCATACTGCAACTGTGAAGTGTCCTAATGATTCTCTTTAAATATTTATTGCTTTCTTACCAATGACATCCCCACCTTTGTGTTGCTACTCCTAGTGGACAAAGCTCACTGAAAATTTTTTTTTTTTTTATAAAATCAAAGACTTTCAGGAACTTTGCTATTTCAGGATAAATGATGATCCCATGCTTGCCTGGCCCATCACAGCCATTGCTGACACAGAGAATCTATTTCCAGTCCTGGTGCAGAGCCTCAATACAGGGTTTTTGGCCACAACACACCACATTTATCTTAATTTTGAGATTTCCAAGAAAACAGGACCCTGAGTCTACTTCTTAGTCCAGACTAACCTTGCATTTGGCCTATCTAAATACTACTTCACTCAATTTTATCTAAATTCTATCCTGCCTCAAACTCCTTTTTCATTCTTTGTGAGATGCCTCGTGGTTCTGCTGGTGATTGTCTTTTTGCAGCAAGTGAATAAACTTAACTTTGTTAGACTGTTTATCCCTGGTAGTCTTTATTAGATGAGTTTTAAAACATTTTACCTCAATACATAAGTTCCAACAGAGATTGGCACACATAAGTAATATTTTTTAAAAATGAATGATTGAGGTCGTTATTATTAACCTCATTTTACTGTTGAGGAAATAGTCACAAAGAGGTTAAATAATTCACCCAAGGTCACCCACATGATTTGGCTAAAAGAACTCTCATTTCTAATAGCCGTATGTTGTGCCCTACTACTTTCTAAATGCAAAGAAACAGACCCAAGATGTTACTTGCTTACAGTTTCACCACTAGCTAATGGCAAAACTAGTATTAGAATCTCTATTTCCCAGTCCAGTTTGTTTGTTTGTTTGTTTTGTTTTTTCCTGCACTACCTACAATTACTCAGCACATACTGCAAGGTCAGTTTGGTGCCACATGTTGCTGACAGTCTTTTCAGCAGTTTAGTGCTTAATAGATATCTTATTCCAAGAAGAAATTTAATGGTTCCTACTTTAAGTTCATGACCTTCAATGATGCAGCAAGAGATAGAAAAATATGTACACATATATGTGTGTATATGACACTATATATAAACATATATATATATGTTTGTGTGTGTATTTACATACAGAGAGAAATAAATGCAGCTGAACTTGAATCTAGATCCTGTGGATCTGCAAATCTAAATAAATATTTAGTTTTACAAACCTCACAAGAATGTGTACATATTTTAGAGAAAAAACATACAGAGAGAAATAAATGCAGCTGAACTTGAATCTAGATCCTGTGGATCTGCAAATCTAAATAAATATTTAGTTTTACAAACCTCACAAGAATGTGTACATATTTTAGAGAAAAAAATGACATGACCTGAAGGAGAAATAATAGAAAATTATTGAATAGGATGTGTACATAACTTTTTTCCCCAAATATTAACTTTAGCGATGTATAATTTTAAAGTATACAAGTGGGTGATTTGACTTATGTATGCATTGGAGTAACTACCACCCTCAGTGATGATACAAAAAAATTCTATCTCCCCAGAAAGCTCCCTTGTGCCCCTTTGTAGTCACTATTCCTATATATAATATTATAATAATTTTCCATAAAATATACAAATTCAGAAAATATTTATTAAAATATATTTGAATCATAGATTCTATAATGAAAATTTATATTATATTTTATTTGAAGCTTTGTCTCTTGGCATTTGAAACTACCTTTAACGGATTTTGCAAATAAAAACCAACATTATTGACTCCGAGTAACTGCCCCAAATACCAACTGTTGGAACCGTACCAAAATAACCACATGTGATCAACCCACCAATGGATGGACTAAATTGAAATTAATTGAAATTTAACTTATATTTTCTATTTATTAACACTGTATACTGGCCAAAGATGTAGAGAGAAACAATTTTAGTATATTGGTACTATGTCTGTTAATGTTTGGCTGTATTGCAATTGCTGCTGTGCTATACAATTTGGAGTGTACTTTAAGTTAGATTTTAACCTAGTTGATTAACAGTCAACTAAAACTAAATAGAAATAAATTTAATGGGAAGAGTACATCATTTCTGTGATGGGAAAGCAGAAGTAAATCAAGTTTCCCAGTTCCATCATACTTATGTCATTTTTTATGCTTCCCTCCTATCCTCTCTGATTTGTCATCATGTTACCTTTCAATATAAGGCCCAATCTCTTAAAACGGCATGGTCTCCTTTAACATGAATAATTCGGGTTCATTTGTGAAGCATACTGACATTGTGCTTTGTAAAGCAAGTAATAATAGGAAACAGGCTCTGAGATAGAGTATCTGTGTGTCTTTCCTAACCTGCTGGTTCACTGGTATGTGCAGAGACAAGACAGGCTTCAAAGAGTACATGCCTGCATCACGTAGAAATCTATTCTTGTGAAACAAATCTTGAAGATCACTTTCTTCTCATGTGTCTTTTCCCCTCAGATAAAACCTTGCAGTGTTGGGGATAAGAAAGTAAAGAGAAGCTTAGTGATGGGATGGCTCTGTTAAAGTTATCAGTTATTTAATAGGTGTCCTCTTGTTCCTACAGGTCCTCTGGTATTATCTGTTATGTTTGAGAAGACCCATGTAACAGATAACCGAATTCCTTGCTTCTCTGAATAGAACTCACAGATACAAATTTAGGATGCTCTTCCCAATTAGAAGCATTTTCTTTGTTTGGGTGGCTCCCTACCCAGTTGTGGCATTCTATCTAAGAAGTCTCAGACACTTTCTGAGGATGAAAGGACAGCATATCTGACCAAAAGTATATTGAGGAATGATACAAGCTTTACTATGGATTTTCTGTACAAAGCCCTAATAAAAAGCTACTAAGGAATATCAGAACCACATAATATCTGTCCTCAAGTATCCAGCAAAATGTATTTGGTGGTCTCTTACAATATTAACATGCCAACATTTAATGAAATGTCGAGTCAAACTTTCCTTGTGTTACCAGTGAAATCTTGGATCTCTGGTGATGCCTGATATTTACCAGGTGTCATTACAACATCCATCACATTCACAGAATTTCTAGGTAGTATGAGTTAATAGATACTTGTGAGAGTTTCACTCTGGCTTTCTTACACTGACTACATACACAAGGGCTCTCTCCAGCGTGCATTCTTCTGATGTTTGGTGAGACTTTCACTCTGGTAAAGACTTTCCCACATTCAGCACATTCATAGGGTTTCTCTCTAATATGGATTATCTGATGTGTGGCAAGGTGTGAATTCTGGCTGAAGAATTTCCCACACTGGCTACATTCATAGGGTCTCTCTCCAGAGTGAGTTTTCTGATGTTTGGTAAGATTTGCACTCTGGCTAAAGGCCTTCACACATTCATTACATTCATAAGGCTTCTCTCCAGTGTGGATTATATGTTATATGGTAAGGTGTGAACTCTGGCCAAAGGCTCTCGCATATTCATTACACCTGTAGGGTTTCTCTTCAGTGTGAGTTCTGTAATAACTTCTGAGAGCAGAGTGGTCTCTGCAGGCTTTCCCACATTCAACACATTTATATGGTTTTTCTCCATTATGAGTTCTCTGAGGATGAATCAGGGTTATTTTTGGCCAAAAGCTTCCCACACATTACTTTCATAGGGTTTCTCTCCAGTGTGTATTCACTGGTGCTGAATAAGAGCTGACAAGTTTCAAAAGGCTTTCTCACATTCTTTTCATTCATAGGGTATCTCTCCAGTGTGTATTCTTTGATGTTTAATAAGTGACGAACTCTGGCTGAAGGGCTTCCTACACTTGTTACACTCATAGAGTTTCCCACCAGTATGGGTTCTCGGATGTTTAATAAAAAATGAACTCCAGCTGAAAGTTTTCACACAGTTATTGCTCACTGTGAATTTTCTGATGCCTAGTAAAGCTTAGAGTCTCACTGAGGATTTTACAACTATTACATTTGGAACATTTCTCTCATGATTAACAACTGTAAGTTTTTTTTGTTTTTTTTTTTTTCCTTTTTTTTTTCTTGTCTTTTTTTTTACTTACCGGTAACGGGATCGCAACCCTCGGTGTCGCACAACTATTACATTTGGAACATTTCTCTCATGATTAACAACTGTAAGTTTTTTTTGTTT